ATTATTATTATCATTATTATTATTATTATTATGAAACCGTACATTACATATGTACATGCCAAATAACACAGAGTAAAATACACGGCCAACGAAGTTGTATGTTCTAACCGACAACCATACACGTAAGAATGTCTCGCTAAAAGTGATTTATAGAGTTAACAGATGCAGGATGCGTATGCATTTTGAACAGTTGCAGCCTGCACCTGATCAACTCTTTGAGCATTTAACTCTGACCCGAAAATGCGTCTCTTAAACACTGTTAAAATTCTCAAGTATTCTGCACGGAAGGAACGATTCATGATGCCGTATATGACGGGGTTGAGCGAGGTGCTGGCAAATCCAAAACAAGTGTAACTCACATACACTTGTCGTTTCATCTTCCAGTCAGCGTTTATAAAGTCGATCATATCGATTACCATAACAGGAGTCCAGCAAGTTAGAAAGCCTATCACAACGACTAGAAGCATATAGGTAATGTTCACTTCATCTACTGAGAGTCTTAACGTGATAGACATGTGTGTAGGCTGTTCTCTTGCTGGAGGGTGGATCCGTGATTGTCGGAATGTTGCATGATTATGCTTCCGCACAGCAATGAATACTCTTGTGTAGCAAGTTACGATAATAATTAGAGGAATGAGGACATAAACGAGAACCAGATAAGCTCCGTAACCTTCATACAGGCTTTCAGCGTCGTGCGCACAGAAAACTTTTCCAGTGTGAAAGAAAAACTCGTGTCCAGCTGCAACGTACGGAAGAGGTGCAAAAAAAGCCACTATCCACAGAATCACGATTGTTACTTTTGTTGTCTTCATGTTGAAAAGTTTCTGATACAGCGTGCGCGAACGAACAATTCGAAAATACCTGTTTACAGCGGTCAGGGCTAAAGTTTGTAACGACACGGCGCACATCAAAAGAATCCAGAATCCTTGAAGCTGGCATACAAAGTTGTTTAAAGACCATTTTCCAACGATAAGAGAAGCCACTGAAAATGGAATCCCCAGCAAAGACATGAGGAAGTCTGAAACAGCCAAAGTTATAATATACATGTTTGGAACAGTTCTGCGAAGATTCGGGTTTTTGATGACTGCGATTCCAAGCAGAAGGTTTCCGGTAAAAGAAACAAAGTTGATCAGCAACATAAAGAGGGATTCTGTTACTCGAACGCCAGTCGATCGGCTTTTTAACTGCTCAGCAAACACCTCAATTGTAGTCAATGTAGAGTTCATGACGAAGCTGAAGTATTATTCTTCTTAGAGCTCTGTCTTATACCTGAGGTTAATACCATGTAGTACAGTTATGCCTTCTCAAGCGTGATGAATGCAAATGATATTCCGTCCACGATACGAAACTGATATTTCGTCCTTCTTACCTAACGAGATTTAAAGATAGCTAAGAAAATGACTCGTCGTTCTTCGGTTTCCCTGAAAATACATCACTTACGATTCGTTTCCCCGGTTTTTCCGCAGGGAATCGTTACCAAACTGATATATTTCGTTTTTCAGTTTCTCCCCAAATTTTGAACTGAGATTCCATTGTTTTCTGGTTTCTACCAAAGTGAAATTCATTATTTTATTTCTCCCAAGATTTCGTGATACTGAAATAAAACAACGTATTATTTGTTAAACGCAAATGAAATTAACAGTCCGTTTTGACATTCACCCAGAAATTAATTTTGCTCTACCGGAAAAACCGAATTCATTGCTTCCTTTAGATTTACATTAACTGAATATTAAACAAACAGTCAGTGAGTTATTGCCGTATTTAATATCCCGACAATATCAAAACTTCTAGGACTTCCTTCCTTTGACTGTCTGAAATGAAGCTCGTCAAGACGTTGCTATGGTTACTAATAAACTATCCACTAAAACGAGGACTATTTATATCATATTTTCTGGTCAAGTGAAAGCTCTTCCGTAATAGCCTTTACTTGTTCGATGCAATTGATCGGGGCCATTGATAAGTAACGTCATGGGCTCCTGGCAACGTCAATTTGAATTTTCAGACTCGCGGCAGAAAGAACTAGTGAACTGGAAATTAACGAGAAAAGAATTCACTGAGAATCTTTAAAGATGAAGAAGAGAAAAGCAGAGGTTTGGTTACTTTCCGAAAGCATCTTCACCCGTAGTGGAGTTATTTGTCCTAAGGCAACCTCACCAATGACAGAATTTGCTGTCTGAATTACTTTTTGTGAAATCGTGCCTTGTGAGTTCTCTTGACCAATATTCCTCTCCGAGAGTTCCGGAAGCATGGATAACCTGGAGGTTATCCATGCCATACTTTCACCAGAAAACAAACGCTTTCAAATGAAGCTCGTCGTAACTGAGCAATTCACAGATGTACTGCTTTATAATACCGTTTTCACTGGTCGTACAAATAAAGCTACTTGTTGTGGTCGCTAGCTGTTGTTGTGTCCTGGTTTTTTTTTGTTTTGTTTTTTCGCTTTTGTTCGGATAAGCTTGGCTACCTGCGTGTTGTGAGCTAGAGCATGTAGTATTACAGTGAAAATTCTTCCTAGCGACAGGCGGGTCTATAGGTGCTAAGATCTAAAGGCTTTTGTTCTTGGGCCATCGTAGTTTAACGAGGAATAAAACCGCTATTTGTGTTTTATTCCTCGTGCTAAGATCTAGTCTATTAGAGCCTTTCTGGAAAGAAATCAGCGTTAAAATACGAAAATCTAAATCCAATAGTTTGGCCAACAAATCATGTATCAACACAGTCACCTTTTCCCCGTGCCCATTCCACGACGGCTAATTTGGGACGAGGATGATGGCCTACACATGAAATCCATGACTGAAGGGTGGGTAAACGATCACATATTTCTTTTGCACAAATTAACAGGAACAGACTGTTAGAAGTAAAATATCACCTGATCAAAAGTGAAACATATATATGGATGCCGTTTTTAGCCAGAATCTGTCGAGGTCAGTGGGTGCTGTAAATTATTTTGGAGATCAAGCAGTGGGTATTTTCGGCAACGAAAGTCAAACTCCAGTAGCTCAAGAATTTAGCCAATCAACTTCTGTTCCTCTAGAGCCATCTCTTCTTCGCGCCATGGTCCCGCCTGCTAAAAGGAATGGGAGGCTCTGCAGACGAGATTGTGTGTTGGCATGACGCTCATGTGACACATGGTGCCAAATACCGACCAAAATCTCGAGTTCTGTCTTCACACAAGACGTACAAAACATGAGATACTTGTAGCACATTGGTCATGTAGATTTTATGTGTGCCCAGCAAGCAATTATTAAATGCAGTATAGGTAATCGTATGATTGCAAATGCAGTTAAGGATCCTTACACTGCCAGAGATATTTGATTTTCTCCGTCGATCTTGTAATAACAAGTTCAATACTGGGTTTCAAGCAATATTTTACATGTAAATTTATAACAATCTTTTCATCACGAAAACGTCAAAAATTTCCAGTTTGAAATTTATCAGTATTGCGCGACCTTTTGCACCATGGCAACATACCGTTTCAAATTTTATTTGTTTTGTCCCTGCCATCGGTACTGTATGGCAACAGATAGAGAAATCTCCTGTTATTCGTAGAAAAGCAAGATAGACTGTTAATCTTAGAGAAGTTAAGAGGGAATCCTCCAGATTTTCGAGTAGCTAGTGGACAAAAACACAGTACCAACATTTTTAATGTTGTATTGTTAACTTCTATGCGACTGTTTTAAATATCTTCTCAAAAGAATTCTCAAGCGTGTTTAGGCATGACTCAAGCCTAATTTGCATAAAATCCGAAAAACAGTAATTACTCTGCCAGGATTTGGTTTAATCTTTGCAGAACTGGCAGCCTGACCAATCGCGACGACCTTTAATATTGTAAGACGAATAAAATTTGATAAAATAAGTCACCTGACTATAATTAATTGTTTTCTTTTTTGGAAAAAAAACTGAAAATGGGCCACCGAGATGACATACAATCACTGTCAAATGTAATATTTTTATAATTGTACTAATGGCCCCTGCAAGAATCTGTCCTGAAGTCAACTAAAATATCCAGTTTAGAAGTTATTACGTAAAAGAGATCACGTGACATTCTGTATTTCCATATATAGCCTTAAATAATTAAGGAGTTCATCCATTCAGGACAGAAATAGTTACCTTAGTAAGTGGTTAAAAATTTCTTTTGGTTAGTTTTTCGTGATAGCTCACTATTCTTGGCTTATTTTAGAAATCTTGAGCAAGCCTGTGACGTCATGAATAACGTGACTTAAGGAGTTTTAAGTGCCCCTATGATCAATTTCTCGATATCCATTTTTTTACATTTTCGTACACAATAGGTGTCTCGTAGATATCTTGCCAAATTTCATTCTATTACGAACATTAGAACTCACGTTTTTTTGGACCTTTATTTCCGAGAATTTACGGCCACCATTAATTTTCCTTGTTCCAAGGCTCGGTTGAGGATTGGAGTAAATGACGTCATTTGCTCAAAAATACCACACGGGTTGAAATTATAATAACAATTAGTGTAGAAAATTGCACGAGTAAAAGAGCCAAAGTTTTTGTTATTCTTTATGTAAATTGCTGTACTAACTGTTATTATAATTTCCACCCGCGCTGTATTTTTGAGTAAATGTCGTCATTTACTCAAATTCTTAGAGCATGGAAAATTAATAGCGGCCCTAAATTCTCGGAAATAAACGGTCCAAAAAACGTGACTTCTAATGTTCGTAACAGATTGAAATTTGACAAGACGTCTAGGGAACACCTATTGTGTGTGAAAATGTAAAAAAAAAAATGGATATCGAGAATTTGATCACAGGGGCACGCTAAGGATGCCAAATTTTGTTTGTGGTACGTTTTTGGCTCCCTCTGAGATAAAAACAACGTTGCTTTAGACCAAAAACGTTTTTCTCTTTGCGGGGGCTCTGCACTGGATATAAGCCATGCCTTAACATGCTTGTGAAATCATTTCTAACAACACCAAATGAAAACAAATGTTGAAGTTCATATAAAACAGTTCAGTGATAGAACTGGTGAAATGAAACCGATGATGAAATTTTACCTGTGTTTACACAATTTCTCTGAACTTTGAAATTTATTTCGTCGACTTCCCATGGGAAATTGTGTTTGGTGTTATTTCCTGCAAGTATTTATATCTTTAGCTTTTAGAAAATGCAAAAAGGACTGTAATATACTTAAAATTATTCTGGTACAAGGTTTTTTTCCACTAAAAGTTGAAATTGCTCGATTTCCTATATCGGATTTCGCCTTAAGTGTTTGACAAACAAATCTAATTTTAAATATTGTCGCTGGACCGTTATTTTATGAGTACAACAGTACATTAATAAATAAATAGAATATCCTGATACATAGCCTATTCACTTGACTGTGTTACATCGCAAAAAGAGAAAACAAATTAGCCATTTTTTTTTTTGGCTGTATAGTTCCATATTAAATATTACATTACTTTTTAAAACGAGAAAAAAATATATCATTCCTGCCTTGAACAGGCACTTTAGAATGGCGCCATGGTATCACTAATATTTACATTTTTCAGATTTTCGGTTTCCGGTACAAATTGCTCATACTGACGTTGTTTGGCACATTTTAATGCAACCCTTTTGCACCCTGCATTATCTGCATTACTATCAAATTGGTTTATCTCTCTTTTCAATTGTTTCGCCTCCTACAAAGCCAAATTAAGTGTGCGGGCACTATTTATTTTGACATTACTTGAATTTTGGTTTCCTGTACCATACCCATTAGTCGGCACCAAAACGTAAACGTATTAAAAGGGTAAACTCTAAGGTCGAGGCTTGTTAAATTGTTTAACAATTCTATTAACACGCGATGAAAATGCAGAATTCCCAACAAACTACGATCTTTTCTTTTATCCATTTGAAAAATCTTACCATGCAGAACTGCAGCAACTGTTGTGGTCTTCCAGCTTTCTTCATTGTCCTTTAGGAAATTAAAAATTAACTGATACCTGTGCAAAAGACCTTGAGACGGCGGAATACAGCACGTAAAATGGTTATCTCGGCAATCTTTTTATCAGCTGAAAGAGAATGTTTAGCTTGAATAAAGGTTTGTGTTAAGAGCTATTTATTTCTGGATTAGAGTTGTCTAGGGTGGGTTGGCGCCAGCCGTAATCAGCGTTATCAATAACATTTCTATCTCCCTGAATATGTGTTTCCTGTTAAAAAAAAACAAAAAAAAAACCGAGTAACGAAAAATCGAGATAGAGAAGGGAGAGGAAAGATCCCTGAGCATCTTCTCCATACAATAAATCAAATCTGACGTCTTTTCGACTTTCGAATTCAAATTCAGTTTATAATTTCGTTATTGCTGTTCTCGTCAGAACGACTCGTGAGTTGACTACGAAATGGGAACACACTATGTCAACAGCTCTCCTACCAGGCAAAAGAAAAAAGAAAAAAAAAAAAGAAAATTAGTAGTGTAGTGACCTTAATGAGTAAGGAAAAAAAATTAACTTTACTTAGTTCATTTTCGTCAAAACAAAACAAAATATTTCCCCCTCCGTTTGTTAATTTGAAGAGGGGCTTAGTTAACACTGACACTGCATTCTGCAGCAATAAAATACAGCGAAGTGTAAATTTTTTCTCATTCTGGTCTTATCTGGCAGTACGTTTGATCAAAGAGCAAACATGGACTCCCGGCTGACTTTCATCATCATATCCGCTGTTTTCCTCTTCTCTCCCTTCTGCACGGCGAAAGCCGGGTAGGTAATATTACTATCATTTAATCTAGCTCGTTAAACGCTTTCAGAGAAAAGAACACAACATTTTGGAGTCTGATCACATTAAAGAAAACTAAGAAAAACGCAAACTGTGCCACCTGCCAGCGCCTCGAAAATTATGATAGTTTACTTTGCAATAGAGAGATTTTAAAACATAATGGCGAGAACCAGTCTTTACTGTGTCAAAGTCGCTCTAAATTTAAACTTACAAAGTAAGCCTATCGTTTGACTGATTAATTCCAATGAAGCGACGGCCGTACGACTTGCTGGTTTTCGAAAGTTCTTTGTTGGTCTTGTTACTGCCCAGATTTGAACTATCCGCTTTGTTGCATCGAATCGCGGCTTGCTTTAGCAAAACCGTTCTTTCGAACCGAGGTTTTCCTCTCAAAATGTTTCCGTGCTTTGGTTGTTAAGTGTCGCTATAAATATCTTATTAGCGCAAAGTGGGCATATCGAGGTTTAAATATTACTAAAGATTTCGTGAGCAGCCCAGGTCTAAAACACTGAGAAAAGACCTTTTCATGGTTTCTGGTGCCGTCTTGTTAGTCGGTGGCAATAACGTAAAAATTGCAGTGGAAAAGTGGAGAAACTAATGTCTATTGCACAACTCACGGAAAATGCGAGTACTGAAATATTTATGAGTCAAAAACATAAGATACCAGTTAAGTGAGTTCACTGATTAAATTTTAGGAAAATAGCCTCGCTACAAAAGCCACGATTAAGGTTTTCGTTTTTACCATACCAGCTTGTTAATAAAAGCGAGTCGCCTTTAGAGACATTTATTTAGCGAATAAAGAAGCCTGAGCCGTGTATTACACTGTGATAAAACGGCACAATGGGCATTTGAGAACACGAAGGAAATGTAGAAAACACTCGCCTGCGGCTCGTGTTTTCTACATTTCTCGAGTGTTCTCAAATGTCCGGAGTGTTTTATCACAGTTTAATACACGGCTTAGGCTTCTTCATTTACTTTATGATGTAGAGGTAATGTGGCGAAAAACAATAAAACACGCTTTTTCTGTGTTTTATATTCTGATAAAACATGGGGTTTTGACCAATCAGAGCGAGCGCAGTGTCCTATCTATAATATAAATGAAAATAAAAACACAATTCCTTTCTCCGCATTTAATTTATGGTCGTCGAATTTGTTAAAAAAAAAGGAGAGTTGCTAAAAAGAGTAAAAGAGTATTCACAATTTTCCAGGCCAAAACCAAAATAGCGCGCTGTTAGATTTCGAAAATATGTTGCAAATTTATAGATGTAGTTTATTTCTCCTCTTCCCCATGAATTATGATTTATTTTAATTATGACACGATTACGACAGTGCCGTGCGTATATAAAATGCGGGAAGCCAAAGATTCCGGTTGTCTTTACGAGTTTGAGTTGAATATGTAAATACAATGTCGGGAATATCCGCAGTTGCCTTTACCATTACATGTAAATTTTGTATTACATATAGTTCGTGGACTGAGATGGGCACTGGTACAAGAATGCCACTGGAGAAATGGTTAGTTTGTATGGTAACCGGGCGGCAGAAAACTAAATGTAGTGATTTTACGATTCATTGCTCTACTATCACATGTTTAAGCAGGCGTCCCGTTGCGTTCATTGGTTTTGTTAAAATACGTAGAGAAAGGTAAAATGGCTTGGTTCCACAAATCTTTTTGCCGAGGTTGAACAAAACTATACCCCACCTCAATGTACTATGCCGCCATAAACGATTTCGGCGGCGCGCAGCGAAGCGAAAGATTCAGAGTTTGAGTTGAAGGAGATGCAAATGTAGGGCGCTTTCCATTCGACCAAAAATTGCGGTGTGAATTTCCGGACATTTTCTGGGGCGAATGGAACAGGATTTTCCGGTTTATGCGCCAGAGTGGAAAACGATAAGCCGTACTTTTGTGCGCTTGGAATTTTTCAATTCAGTGACTTCTAAGTTTAAATTGCAAATATAGAAGCACACAGAACACTGATCCGTCGATACGGCGACTTCTCATAGCCCATGACAACAGGGACTTTATACAAACCACAACGGCAGCGAAAACGTCGCAAAACAAAGGGTTTAATGAGTGGAACAACGCCTCTGCACGCGTTATAAATCTCTGTACATTTCTTAGCCAACCTATGCAAAACAAACAAGTACACCGCGGGGCATTGTTTTTATTGGAATTAAACGTTTTCTTGACGAATTTAGCTCTAGCTAGAATTTATCGACAGACAAGTGGCAAGTAAAATACTAATCCATTTTCGAGTACGCGTCCCCGTCATCTTTGCATGGGATGATCACGGTGATCGTGGCCAAAAGAACTCGCGCTGAATAGAAAATTGCTGATTTACCTAATTTCCGATAAAAGGGGACAACCTCGCGAAATATACCTAAATGTTCGAAAAAAAAATCTGGGAAATTTCTGTTCCATTTGATTTTCATTTTGGAGTTTCCGGATTTTTCGGTTGAATGGTTCGCTTTTCGGAAATTTAACAATTTCCGGATTTTCTGGAACCCTTCCCAGGAAATTTCTGTACCATTTGTCTCCGTTTCGAAAATTTCGGAATTTTTGGTTGAATGGAAAGCGCCCATAATTTCGGAAAAGTAATTGCATGCCTTCACCATTACATGTAAATTTTATCTTATATATACTCGAAGATCACCATTCCATTGACACAAGAACATCACCGGAGAAATGGTTAGTTTGGGGTATGTGGAAAACGCGGAGCTGGAGTCCCGGGGAACGGGGTACGGGGTCCCGGGTTGCAGAAAACAAGGGGTCTAGTGGAAAACACGGGGTCCAAGTGGAAAACACGGGAAAACGTTTTTTCACCAAAATATGAATTTTCTTCACTAAAATGAGAAGTCGAAATTTTGTTATTTTAAATTGCAATGAAAATCTATTCAGCTTCTCGGCGTGAAACGCGTTTTTCGATCAAAAAAACAAATTAAACATTTCGTGACAAAGAAAACCATTCAAGAGCCAACTTGCCGTGCAATGGTTTTCTTTTGCATGGGGCGTCTGTTATTTTGCGCAGTAACTTGCGTGGTTTTTTTATACCTTTGAAAAAGAAATAATGAAATAATAAAGATTGTTTTGCTTACTATCTTAAACCATGAAAAAGCCTTTCTATACAAATAATCACTTTCGACCGGTCATTATTT